CAACTGCTTGTTTTTAGAACAGGCAGTGTCTGTCCTCTGGATTCTTCCTCTAAGGGGAGAAATGGACATTTGTACAGTGCAGTGTGATAATCATATTAGCACAGATTTGTGTGGCAGCATCTCCCTTAGCCTTAAAGTGCAGCTTGAGTCCGGCCTCAATGTATGAAAAGTCAGCAAGTTGCTGAGATGTAGATGGAAGAGTATCCAGGGAGAAGCAGGGAAGGAAAACTGTCCTTGAGGCAGTAAGGCTGGATCACTGGGAATCACGCGGTGTTAAGAAGTGCAGCTGGATCTTAAAGGCCCTTATGTGATATGTGTTACAGATTCTTAGAAAGAAACATACATATATAACCGAAAAAATAAGTTAATATCATGAAGAAATGGTAGATGGTGGGAAGGATACTATTATTATGTAGTGCATATCTTTGATTGGATCCTACATAGAAAAGCATATCTAAAAAGGACATTTTGGGGACAAGTGGGAAAATTTAATGTGGACTCTAATATTAATATTTACCTTTAAATTCCCGTTAAATTTCTTTGTAGGAGAATATGCTTATTCAGAGGTGAAATATCTCATGTCAGTAACTTACTTTCAGATGGTTCAACTAAAAGTAAAAATTATGTGGGGAGAACAAATGTGGTTTTAATGACTGATAAGTGGATGTTCAGTGTATTTTTCTGTAAAATAGAAAGATGGGGAAAACAAGTAAAGATGGCAATAATCTTTTAGAAAATATAATGTAAAAACTTCTATAATAACAACAAAGTATAACAGGCCTTGGAATAAACTTATCCCTTGTAGAAAAATTATTTAACTTGAATTAGATATTTTTTAAAACTGGGATAAATGAAGATATGCTAATGTTTCTGAATAGGAACATATATTAAGATATAATTTTTTCCAACCATTATATAGGTTTAGTCTAATTCCAGTGGTGTTCCCAGTGAGACTGTGAAAGCTGGGAACAAAAATGGCAATAGCCCCAAAAAGCAATTAGAGTTGGAGGAAAGGACTGATATTTCCTCTACTATTAGATTTTCACCCTATAACCAAATTCCAAGTGGATCAAAGAGTTAAATGAAAAAAATAAATCAGAATACTCAATTCAAAAGAAGGCCAAATTAGGAGGAAAAGGGAAAACATGAAAAGATAGTAAATGAATAACAATTAAATGTAAATGGTCTAAATACACCAATTAAAAGGCAGAGATTAAGATTGGACAAAAAAGCTAGACTTAATAACTTACTGCTTATATGTAATGCACTTTATAAAAACGCAAATAGTTTAAAGTAAAAGGATTATAACCCAAATGTCCCATTAACTGATGAATAAAATATAGATCCGTACAATGGAATATTACTCCGATAAAAAAGTACCGATAAAGTGCTGTGACATGGATGGACCTTGAAAACATTATGCTAAGTGAAAGAAGCTAGTGAAAGAATAGTATATGATTCCATTTATAGGAAATGTCTAGAAGGGGCAAATTTTTAGAAGCAGAAAGATTAGTGGCTGCCTAACGTTAGGGATACCGGAGTTTCTGCTAATGGCTACAGGGTCTCCTGGGGTGATGAAAAGCTGGGGAACATGCTGATGGTTGCCCGACTCGGGGAACACACTAAAAGCCACAGATTTGTGCACTTAAAATGGCTGAATTATATGGTGTGTGGATTATATCCCAATAAAGCTGTTTTTTAAAAAGTGAAAGAATGAAAAAAGTTATACATGCTACTAACACTAATCAAAAGAAAGCTTGGAGTGCTTCAATGTCAATATTAATATCTGAAAGTAGATTTCAGGGGAAAGGATATTTTTAGTGATAAACAAGGTCATTTCCTAATGACAGAAGATATACAATCCTAAACAGAATAAAAAAAAAAAAACATTTATAGTCAAGAGCTTTCAAAATTGATAGAACAAGTAGAGAAACTTATAAGGATATTCAAGATGTGAACAGTATCATCGACCCAACTGACTAATTGACACTTGTAGAACACTCCAAAAGCACCAACAAACACCTGGAACATTTAGACTACATTCTGGACCAGAAAACAAGTCTCAATTTTCTCTGACCACAGTGGAATTAAATCAGAAATCATTACCAAAGAGATCTGGAAAACCTTATAAGTTTTAGAAACGAAATTGCATATTTCTGTGAGTTGAGAAAAAATTGGAAAGTATTTTGAACTAAACATAGAAATTTGTGAAATGCAGCAAAAGCAGTGCTAAAAGAGAAATTGTCAGCACTAAAATACTATATTAGAAAGATTTCAAAAATTAGTGACCTAAGATTTCACCCTATGCAACTAGAAAAAGAGCAGGAACCAATGAAAGACAACTAAAAGGGGGAATTTTGGTCATTAAAAGCTAATTTTTTTTGAGGATTAAAATAATTAATACATCTCTGTATAGACTAATTAGGAAAGACAGGTTCCTAGCATCAGCAATGAGAGATCAGTGTAGGTCCTACAGCCAAAAGTCTGACAGGGAAAAACTTTCGGCCAATGAATGTGATAATATAGATGAAACAGACCAATTACCTGAAAGACAACTTCCAAAACATTCAAGAAATAGCAGTCTTAATGGCCCGTTATTTATTAATAAATCTAACATTCATTCATGATAAAACTCTGAGGGAACTTTCTCAACTTGATAAAAAATATATATTTTAAAAATCTATAGCTAACCTCATACTTAATGCTGAAAGACTGAATGCCTTCCCTCTAAGGCAAGGATATCTGCTCTGTCCATTACCTATTCAACACTGTAACTATAGGTCCTAGCATAAACAATAAGGCAAGACAGAGAGAGCATACTGATTGAAAAACCAGTCACAACATGATCTTCTACATAGAAAAATCACAAGGTCTATAGAAAATTACTAGAACTAAGAAGATTATAGCAAAGTTGCATGATTAACATATAAAAATCAAATGTATTTCTATGTAATAGCAATGACTAATCAGAAGTAAAAAATTTTCAAAACACTATTACAGCATTAAAAAATTAAATACTTACAGATAAGTCTGATGAAAGATGTGCAAGATTCGTATCCTGAAAATGAGAATCTTGGCGAAAGAAATTTGAGAAAATGGAGATAAATCATGTTCGTGAATTGGAAAACAATAACAAGATGTCAGTTTTCTCCCACTTGATCTATAGTCAACCCAATTCCTGTCAAAATCCAAGCAGAATTATTTGTATAAATTAACAAACTGGTTCCAGAATTTATTTGAAAATGTAAAGGAACTAGAATTAAAACAATTTTGAGAAACTTAAAGGACTCACACTATCTAATTTCAAGTATAAGCTACACTACTCAAGACACTGTGGTCCTGGTGAAAGTACAGACATACAGACCAAAAGAACAGAAGAGACTCCAGAAACAGACCACACATACATGGCCGACCGATTTTCAACAAAGGTGCAAAAGCAATTCAGTGGAGAAAGGATAGCCTTTTTCGACAGATGGTACTGAAACAATTGGATAGCCATATATAAGAATTATAGTAAACCTGCACCCAGACTGCACCATATACAATGAACTCAAAATGGACCACAGACCTAAATGTAAAACTTGTAACTATGAAACTTAGAAGTTAAATCATAGAAAATGTGGATACAGGTTACACGGATTTCTTAGATATGCATCAAAAGCATAATCCATAAAAGATGGATAAGATGGATTTCATCAAAATTAAGAATTTTTGCTCTTAAAAAGATAGAAAAAATAAGCCAGACTGGGAGAAAATTTTACAAATCTCATATATGATAAAGGATTACCAAAACTGAAAGAAAACTAAGCAAATTTAAAAGTGCATAAAGGATCTGAACTTCACCCATTATGTGCCTATGAGAATGGCTAAAGTTTAAAAAAATGACAACTAATGCTGGCAATGATGTGGAGCAGTTGGAACTTTTATATATTGCTGGTGGGAATGCAAAATGATATAGCATAGCCATTGTACCTGGAAATTAGTTTGGCAGTTTCTCATAAAGTTAAACATACCTTTATCACACAACCAGTAATCTCACTCCTAGGTATTTAGTCAGGTGGAATGAAAACAGGTTCAACAAAAACATGCTCATGAATGTTTATAATGACTTTATTCCTAATTGCCAGAAAGTAGAAAATAACCCAAATGTCCTTCAGCTAGTTAATGGATAAACGAACCTGTGGTAGACCCAGCAGATTACCACACTTTGCAATAAAAAGGCACAAACTTCTGATACACGTAGCGATATAAATCTCAAGCATACTAATGCTTAAGCGAACGACGATAGATTCGGCAGGCCATTTACCATGATTCCGTTTCTATGACACTGAGGAAAGGGCAGGGAACATCATCAGTAGCTGACTGGGGGTAGGTAAACTAGGAATGAAGGAATATTCTGGGGTGAAGAATCTGTTTTATATCTTTATTGCAGTGATTACATGACTATGTATTTGTCAAAACGTGTAGAACTGTATACTTATAAGGGTGCATTTTACTGTATGTAAATCTTTTAAAAAGGTTAGGATAAGCATCTAGTTAGTGGCTTGCCTATACATTATCACAACCTGGGCAGGTTTCAAAAAAATTCCAGCACAGAATTGAGTTTCTCCAATTAATGAAAGCAGTATTAGACTGTTGGTTAGAAAGATTTGTCGTCATAACTTAATAGGTACAGCTGAAATCAAGGAAGAATAAGTGAGAAGTACCTTGGGTCTAGAAGCAACCTATAACATCCTAGCATTTACCCTGCCATGAGAAAAGAATTAGCAAGTAACACAGTATCAATTAAGATGACTGATCACTAGTGCTACTTGTCAGGGCAGATTCAGTGGCTTGGTACAGCTTCATGAATAATTATGATAACATTGCTTACAGTATTAAACAATTAGGAAGAAAGAACATACTAATAGGAGACCAAACTATGACAGACATACCACAGAATACTTACTATATAGCAGTTAAAGAAATGTGATCCATATATACTGATATGGGAAGATCTAAGACAATTTATTATAATAAATGAATGTGAATATGCTTGGTATGTTTTCCATAAGAAGAAATGAACGGTGAAGTAGCACACAAATTTTTTTTAAACCAGTGAACTACCAGAAAATGTGATAAACTGACTTTTGGGGCTTTGGCAAAACTTAATGCCAAAGGTACTGTAAGTAGATCCAGTCTCTAGCACTTTGGCAATGTTCTTCTCAGTAGGGACTGAGAAAATAATTTGCCTAACTTTTCTCAATTCTCCAAGGATAATATGTAACTAGTGCATTTGTATATCATGCTAATAAATTACCTACAATGGATGCTTTAGGGAATTAAGGCTTATCTCTTGTGAAATTCCAGTTGACAATGGCTGCTAAAAAATGAGTAACACTAGATAAAAAGGCACAATACTTTGTAAAATCATGCTATTTTTTAAATAAAGGGAAATGGTGACATATGGAATTAATTAAATATGGCACTGCAATGTGATGCTCTATAGCTGTTGTAAATTAAAAAATCACAAATTTGTAAACTCTTACGTTGTGGAAAAGTGTACATCAAAATCACCTCTGGAACACTTTAAAAAATAGAAATACTCTTTCTCCACCCATGAGTCATCAGTCTCAGACATCTGAGAAGTGAAATTGGAAGTATAGTTAGTTATTTTCTCTACGAAAATGTTCAGACTCTTCAAGGTAAACCACTTAACTCATTTGAGGTTCTTTGCCTTAACACTGAATTATGTGTATAAACATTTCAACGTTTTTTTTATCTTTCCCCCCACTCCAGAGACTGAGAGAAATTAACAGTATGATACGGACAGGAGAAACTCCAACCAAAAAGAGAGGGATTCTTTTGGAAGATGGAAGTGAATCACCTGCTAAAAGAATTTGCCCAGAAAACCATTCTGCCTTGTTACGCCGTCTCCAAGACGTAGCTAACGACCGCAGTTCTCACTGAGGTTAGTCTGCTATACCGAACTGTCTTTTCACAGACCGTTTAACGCATGCTACACTGTGGGGCACTTTCCTTAATCCTGAGTCTTTGGAGCATTTTCACTCATACCATATGCCTTTTTTCCCCTACCACTCAGTGCTTGCTATCAAGAATCCAGACTGGGATTTTGTAACTCTTTGGCAAAGCTTTGACGAGTATGGCAGGACACAAAGCATGCTCAGATATGTGTGTGAGGTCTCAGCTGACATGCTCCCGAAGAGGAATTGTGTTTCAATTCAGTACTACCTGTTTTGTGGTCAGCTCTGGCCCTTGTGAAAAGCAAAGCAAAAACTTGTGTTTTTGTCCTAAAACACTTGGTAGGAGTGTGAGATTTCTGCACTCCTGAAGTAGAACAAGGGAGAGAGCCCAGATTCAGATGTCCTAGCTTATTAGTCTGAGCCCCCCATTCCCTTTGTGTAATTCTCCCCTCTTCCCGTTAGGTGTGATGCAGCGTGACCAGTGCTTGATTGTTTGGTGTGCAATGTGTGAGTGAACTTGTATAAGAAGTGGCACTTTAGGACTGTAAAAAGCATGATTTTGTAACCCAGATTTTGCTGTATATTTGTGATGGCACTTTCTACAATGTGAACTTTATTATCTTCTTTGATGCTTTTGTACTTTTTTAAACTGTTAAAACCCCCAGTAGCCACCTTCTGGGCATGTGTTTTAAATTTTCCAGTTTTTTTGTGAATAGGGATCAGCTGGCTAAGTGAAGATTTAAAATCAAGTTGAAGTAAGGGAATTAATATGAAAAATTATGACCTCTTTAGGAGGTAGTTATCCAAAAGACACGTATCTACTAAGGTGATACATTTTAAAATACCTTTGGGTGTGTTTCTGGCAGTTAAAAAAATAGGTATGAGAATTTAGGTTTTTATTAGTATATAGTACCATTTATACAAATTAGAAAAGGTTATTTAACAGCTATTGAATTATCTATATATACCTTTATTAATCACTATTCCAGCAGTTTTCAAGTTGAATGAATAATCTTATTAGGGAGAAAATTCAATTGTAAATTGAATCGGTATAAACAAAGTTACCAGGTAACTTCATATTGCTGAGAGAAAGATGGAACTTACACTGTTCAGTTAGAATAGTGTTCTGCAAAATTATTTATAAAACCTCTCAAGATATTTACTGCTATTGTAATTTTATATGAAAATAAGTATTTTTCAATAAAGCATTTATAAATTAATCTGTTCAGTTATATTGAGAAAAGGGTAGTTTCCTGCACAAATGACAAAGAACCATCATTTATTGGTTTATTTTGTCTCTACAAAACACATTAGTCATTCATCACTTAAATATCTGACTTCATTAGAAACCATTTTAACACTCTCCCCCCGCCATAAAAATACAGTAAGTAATTTGCTTTAAAAAAAAACTACGAACAGGTGTTCTGGTTTCCTCTCTCACCTAATATGCACCTCAGTGGTAGCAGTTTGTAAATCGGTAAGACAGTAGGCTGAAAACAGGTTCAAATGACCTTCCCCTTAAAAAGTGCTAATACGCTACGAACCGGCTCTCTCTGCTGCTCCTCTCCATCTCCTAACGTATGTACAACTGAAACCACTGATTTAAAAATCATTAGATAGTGCTGAACTGGCTACTCTATTAGTTTAAATGAATGCCACTTACCTTTAGCATTATATTCAGAAGAATACGTAAGCCTCAAGGTCCCCAATAATCTGGAGTACTGAACTAGATAACCACCCTAAAGACACTTCTGACAGAAGTAATGCATCACTTAAAGAGGTTTCCAAACCTTGCTGTTAGAACCTAAGCACACACGGACAACACTGTTCTCAGTCATCGTTCACACGGTTTTACTCTGCAGGCAGTCCTTTGCCATTGGTCAGCTTTAACTAGGCCCGAGTCCGGCAGCAAAGTGCATGGTGCACCAGATTCACCAGCTCTTACGTGGCTACTGTTTTCTCTTCTTTACTGAAAGGCTGTACTGAGCCAGGCTTTACCCATGACAGGCCAGCAACATGAACACTTTTATTGTGCTGTTCTTCAGGCTTCTTCTAGGCACAATCAAAAAGACATTAAAGAAATGACTGATGAGATTCCAGCACTGTACAAACTCATTTCCCCGACAGTTATTTGTAAATAATGAGTAATCTACAGTGAAGACATTTCAAAAGGAAACCAAGTTAACTATTTCAAAAATGGTTATGTACTTACTTTCTGGGTCAGCATCTTCTCTCTGGCTTCATCATGTACAGAAGGATTCCATGGAGAAAAGCTTAAGGAAGAGAAAGCTTTGACTTACTGAATCTGTACAACATTCATTTTTAAGTACTTAAGCCAGTTCCTATAACAAAACTTAACAAGGAACAATACTTTTGGAGAGTATTCTTTAATTAGTTGTCAGCATGTAAGTTTCAGAGGCGCTCTAAATTATTTTCTCACTTGATAACTATCCCTTATGGAGCACTTTCCACGGGTTAGTTCATTTAAGCCTCGCAACTATCCCTGAAGTAATGTTATTTAAAGGAAGAAAATGATGCACAGTAAAATCAAGTAATGGCTCTGGGTCACTGAAGCCAGCAAGTGCAGAAGCCAACCGCGTCTGTCTGCAGAGCCCAAGCCCCTTACCAGTGTGACACGCTACCTCCCCAGCATGCAGTGCTGCTGAAGGCCTGAGCCACCGATTCTTCAGTTCACAGTGCTCCTCCAGACACCCTCCCCAAGGTCAAGTTCTTATTGCTGAAGGAGCCCACTACTCACACCGTTCACGCTCATGCCATTCACCAAATCTGAATGTCAACATGGACATGGCAGTTCAAGAGGGGGCTCCAGCTGAAACTGCCAACTGTAAAGTCCTTACACTTGAGACTGCTCATTACAAGGCTCTTTAGGAAACCAAGGTCACTAAATAGTCTGCTACAGGCATAATGTGCCAGTCGACGTGAGACTTTTTAAGGAAAGAGCCCAAGAGGTACCAGGAATCAAGATGACAACCAGTAAGAAAGATGGTAGGCTAACAGATTACACACTCTCCCAAAAATCCCCATTTTAAGACCACCCGAAAAGTGAATGCATGGGATGGCAAAGTACGGTTTATCTAGAGAAGGCCACTTACCTAATGGCATAGGGGTCTTCTATTTTAGGCTGGTCAAACAAGCGAGCAGCGCACACCTTAACACTGTCAACCACTTTACTTTTAAAAAGCTGAACATCTTTTTCATACCTGTGTTAAAAAATTAAATCAAACGTTACCAGCAATCTGCTTCACTGTGATTTCGAATTTATCTTAAACGACACAGAGGCACATACAGCACCGCGGCCTCCGGGTTCAGGGCGCTCGTCGTGTCAATCTTGTAGAACACTCTCCGCGCGTACATCAGCACCTGCCAGATGTGGTTGTGGTTCCGCCTGGAGGGAAACACAGCGTGACCACCGAGGCTCCCTCTTGCTGACTTACGTCCCTACAGGAGGCGCTTCTTCACTAACCTCCATTTTGCAAACGCTCTCTTCACGTCCAGTTCACCGGAGGTGGGGTCCACCAGCGGGTGGAAGACAGGGATGTCAAACACCAGGCGCTGAATCAGAACAGAGACACACCTTTGTACGGAAGCGGCGGAGTTCCTCAGGCCCACACAGACAGCCGTAGAAAAGCGCTTCGGGACGAGGCGGTCGGGCTGTCACAGGGCTGCCTCAAAAGGGATACTTTACGCTCACCACTCTTTTATAAAAATTAGATTTTCCAGCCAAGTGGGGAGAGGGGAGTCCCTCTTCTCCACTACAGCACAATGACCGCCAGTCAGTCAGTCACGTACTAAGTGCAGTGGGACAGCCTCCAGCCTCACCGCACACCCTGGGCAGAGAAACAGTAAAGCTAACGGCAGAGGCTGACACAGCAAAGGATGCAACGAAGCACAAAAAGGCCCTCAAAAGACTACTGAGTGGACAGACATTTTGGGGAACTGAAATCATAAAAGCATTCAGTCAGGAAAAGAAACAAGAAATCCTCAACGCCCTTTAAGCCCTCCTCACTGACCCACAAATGAAGCCAGACTGTCCCCTACTTACTGGACAATCACCATCTGGGTAGTTATCAGGGATGTAAACTGTAAACTTGAACACACCATCTTGATAAAGTCCATGCCGTATGAATATTACTCCAAACCACACTACAGGAAAAATAAAAATAGTTAAGGCCTGTGTTCGTGTCGGAGGAAGCAGATATGCTACAAATATGTTATACAAGGAGTGAATCCTTCTTACTTAATGCAGAGCGGTAAGATGGCTGCACATAGACGCCTGGCAACTTCTGCTTCACCACTAAGGTACTGAGACAGAAGCAGCAGAATAATGAAATTAGATGGATGTACATGACACATACAGATCGAACCACCCCACAGTCATTTTCTGAGAAGGAGCAGTCTCCCTCAAGGGCCAGCTGTGCCCTAACCACACAGGCCGAGTCATCACAACCTCTCGCCCGGCCTTGACTGCTGCCCGTTCACTGGCTTCGTGACATGAGCTCAGAGAAACACATGAGCCAAAGAAAAGGCCCAAGTTAAAAATTAAAGCTAAATGGGGATACACAAAATATCCAGTTTTCCTCCTAGAAAGCAGCTTCCCCAAAACGTCATCTTAGAAATCACCCTGGAGGTAATTCTAAACAATGCAAAGCGATTTAAGTTCTGGACATTAATTTGAGGTAAATGAGAGTATTTATAAAATTATTGCTTTTGTGACTGTGGACAATAGAGCCTACCTACACATTCAAAACCGATTTTTAAACACTATTTTAGATAACCAGGGACTGGCCTGCACTTAGGTGTCACTTAAGGTTTGAACAGCAGTCTGTGTGGCACGGGGCCACGCTCAGATCTATCTGCGTGCTCCTGGTGAAGGTGGGCCCAGCGTGAGGCGCGGACACACACTCTGCTCCTGAGTTTGCCGCACAGCTCAGGCACCTGGGCGCTGGGCCCGAGTGTGAGAAATGATGGGTGCTGACCCATGGGAGATGACAAGCCACTGGCACGAGGGCTCCACTGGCTGTTCTGGGACCTAGTCACCCACTGACTACCATGCTGCCGTTTCTGAGCTGTGAGCCTAAATAAGTAAGGCTGTGAGCAGACGCTGAACAAAGCAGTGTTGATCTAAGGCCTTAAAACACATCACCGTGCCAGTCCTGAATTTTAATTACTAAATAGCTTATTGGACCTTAGTTGATAGTCTTTATTACTGACTTGCCATCGCACTTACTTTTAATCATTTTAAAGCAGTTATTCCATTTTTTAAATCACTAAAATTGAGCATGTCAACGGCATCATGGTTGGCAGAAGTATCTAAAGTGAAGTTTGCCAGAAAGGCAGTTTTGTGTTCTAATACAGACAGCAGATTTAACGCCACAATAGAAGCCTGTCCAAGTCACTGCCCAGCCTCAAACACAGGCCTCCATTATAAAGCTAACAGGACCACTGCTGCTGTTCGCTCTCGGCCCTTTACATGGGGGGTGCAGACTCTGTGGCCTCACAACGTTCGGACAGTGAGGGAGGGCTCAAGGGTGCTTTTAAAATGACTCCACATAAAAGGAATTTTGAAGTAACTGAAATTAAGAATTCTGTGAACTTCCTGCCCTTGTAACCAGTTACTAAATCAAATGCCATCTGCACTCATTCACTGTCTGAGCCCCGAAGATGCGCCAGGCACTCTGCAGAAGTGCCCACCTGCTCGTGCGATGACACGTGCAGCCTCACTCCAAGTTTTCACTTCATGACTAGTCAAGTTCTCATTACGTGGAGCCCAACTCTTTGTAACATCCCTGTAATTGCCTAATTCTGCCTCTGGGGGGTCACAGAGATTAAGTCAAATCCCTTTTCTAAAGACGGACCTTCAAATACAAATACAAAGACAAGTACTTCCTAGGTTTTCTCCAAGTCAGCAGTTCCAGTTCCTTTGACTGTTGACGCCCAAGGTCTGGCTTTTCCTACTGGGACCACCTCCCCAGTCTGTCAGGATGCCTCTTACAAGGTGATCACCAGAATGGAGCACAAAGCCCCCTGCTGGGACTGCCACCCAATACCTATGACAGAGCCACCCTCCCACTGTCCTTCCACAACGGCCTCTTCGGGAGGTGAATTCCTCACTTCATATTAAAGCAAAGCAAAATTAAGTGATGAGGTTCCTGACCTACCATAGGTGCTTAGTCTCCAAAATAGACGTGAAATTAAAGGACAGATTTGTCTTTAAATCTTATTGACCCAGGCTCTGAGTAAGAATTACACTTAGGAGAGGATACTTATATAACACTACCTAGGCCTTGGTTAAGAAAGATTACATTGCCAGCCGTTGCCTCTACCGTTCTATGAACACTGAGGTTGATATTGACGGGGTATGGGTTTGAGCTTGAGGATTAAATAGCTGCCATTTACTGAGCCCAGTCCATGGGAATACATGTCATTCTTTATCTTCAAGAGTCATTCAAAATGTAACCAAACAGTTTTGTTAAGAACTTACAATTCTGCGAGAAGAGAGTATTCCAGGTAGAAGGGCCCGTAAGAAGCATGAGTGCCGTTTGTTGACTGTGCTGCCGGGGCAGGAGACGTAGGCTTCGTGATGGGCAAGGCATTTTTGGGGATAGAGGGCAGCTGCTTCTTGGGGGCAGTGCGTGGAGGACTGGTGTTCCCGTCCCCTGTTAATGTCTTCTCTTCTCCATCGGATCGCTATTCAAGACGAAGCAGTGAGAACATGTTAGGATGATTCTTTTTTTCTCTCAAGGTTTTGTTTTTTTTTTAAATTAGTTTCAAGTATACAGCACATTGGTTAGACATTTATATAGTTTATAAAACAATCCCCCTCATTGCTCCTTTTCTCATCTGGTTTTCCACCCAGCCAATATATTAATGCTAACTGCATTCCCTATGCCGTGCTCCCCATCCCCGTGACCATCAAGTACTAATTTGTACGTCTTTAACCTGTTACCCCATTCTCCCAGTCTCCCAACTCCCCTCCCCTCTGTCCATCACCAGATTGTCCACTATATTTGTGAGTCTTGTTAAGATGATTCTTAAATCACGAGAGTACATATGATGTATTTAGCCCTCGACCTAAAAGCTGCAGTTACTCTTTTACAAGGACATGCTAGCACCATGCTCTAGACAACGCGAAAGTCCTTTGAGCAGGTGGACCACTAGAAAAACATTAGAAACCTCTTTTTTTAGCTGCAGCCTATAAAAACAAAGCCAATATTTAAAAGATTTAAGTGAAACAAAGAAAGTGTTTTAGTGGCCCCCAAAAGAGGGCGAGGGGTCACTAAACAATGAGACAACTGTAAAAGATCAGAAAAGTCCCTGGGCACTTAGATGCTATACAAGGTCAGGTGCTCAGCAGCTCGAAATAACAGATGACTGGGGTTAGTCACCCCCTGATGTTAGCACCTGGGTTAGAAGCAAAGAATGAGGCTGTTCTCTTACTTGCAATGTGTCTGATTTTGATCTTATCCCTAATGGATATGTTTCCACATTTGGACTATCACCAGCATAAACTGTCACCCATAGTAGAGACAAAGTCTAAATGAGTCAGAGACTCAACTGCCATCTCATAGGTACTTGCTTGGCTCCAGTACAGCAAAGGCTGTTTAATTAGCTGTATTAAAAATGTGTATCATGTGCATAGGAAAAAAAAAATTATCAGAGGTGCTCTCATAGAGGTGGAATTATGGGTTATAGTCTTTCTTTGTCTGCCTATTTTCAGCTTTCCTAAAATGTATTATTTTTGCAATTAAAAACAGATAATTTAGAAAAATTAAACCAGTAACTTCGAGACTTGACCACACTGGACTGACTCTTCCCAAGCCTTTTCTAACTATAAAATCTTGCCGTTTAAAAGAAAACTATTACATATATGTCACGAATTTCATCATGTGTAAATAAAACCTGTCAAAATAATCTTAGAATTGTGATGACCAGATGGTTTCTATTTGAGATGCGATCTCCGTCTCAAAACCTGACATTAATTAACAAAATAATTATTTCTCAAAGGTAAAACCTGAACTAGAAAAACCAGGTAATCTTGTTAAGATTACAGGCAACCTCAGTATAAATTATTTTGGCCTCTATTCTGATGCAAGTGGTTTCCTAACTAAATTTATCAACAGTACCTACTTTGCGTACAGAGCTTGTAGACATGCTCCAGAAAGGGTTCATAACGTGTACTCCACACAAAGAAATTTAGAAGTCTGTGACATTAAACTCTCCGTCTTCGGAATTCACGTTACCTTAAAATGAAATGGGAAAACAGAGACATACCAATACCAAAAGTTAAGACTTGAAAAATAATTAAGAACTAAATACAACACTCTAAATAAAAATACAATATAATATTATGTAGTTACAAAAACGTAGGGGAAAAAAGTTTTCAGAAATAGTACCTTTCAAGTACCCCCCAAAAAAGTGCCAAGTGCTCGCCAGGACTCAGCGTGTTTAGTGGACACAGTTCAGCTTTGGTGCCAGATATGCAGAAGATATGGACAATAATAGTCGCTACTAGCATGCTATCTAGGCATTTGACTACTGGGACAGCCAGGTTCAGAATGCACTGTACTCACGTAAAAAAGCCTCAGTGTTCGCAGGGTTATGAGGAATTGAAGATCCAAGGAGGCTGATTTAAGTGTTTCTTAAAGGAGCTGTCTTAAGTACAAAATGATTCTCTCCAGTGAAAATAGTAGCCAAAGAAATAAGGAAAAACATGTGGGAGGGAGAGCATATAAGACAGAGAGGGATAACAGGGTCCAGTCGGGACTGTCCCCCAGTATGACCTTTTCCAACTGCTCCAAGTATGGAAACTGCAGAATTAAGCATTTAAGGATTTGCCAAGCAGTACATACAAATGCAACAGAGAAGTGCAAACAAGACATTTCACAAACACAAATCTTCCACCAAAGCTTTAAGCAGTGGATAAAAAAGCATGTCTCAAAGGTCACAAAGTCAGTGGGTCATTTACTAAAAATACAAAGGAAGAGAGGCAAAGTTAAACCATGAGAGCCCAGGAGTAGGAGCAGGACAACTCTGCCTAGCGGTTCCCGTTCCCCACCTGGGTCCCTTCAGAGCATGCGCCTCCTTTGAATTCCTATCTGCACCAAGCAGAAGGCTGAAGGTGAAAAGGGTCAAAACTTAGCAACGTTTTACTCAATTCATAAGCAAATCATTAGGGGATCATGTACCACATGTCCCTAATCAGCAAAAATGTGTTTCCTGGCAAGCCTATGACACCCACAGGTGGGCATGAGATCACCCACACTCCACCAGTGCCAATTACTGCTGTTTTGCTTTCCAAGACATACTGCCACCTGGTAATTAAATCAAAGCAACGAGGATCCTGGTTCTTCCACAAACCTGTTGACTTACATCCAATAAACAGCAATTTATCACTGAGAGCTCCCTGCAAATCTGCTTTTAAAGGTGACTACGAAGCGTGGAAATGGGTGCTACATCAGAAATGCATGGAGGCATATTCCTGTTGGGCCCGAATGACAACACTGGTCTCCAGATCCACAGAAATGTGCAGCACCCCACTGGCATCCGGGACACACCTGGTTAACAGGGGGTCCCCTCCTCTTGGGACACAGTGCTCGCCACCATGTAAATTTACTGGAGTGGATTAAGTCACCTGTAAGGTCCTCTCCAAGTCTAACAGCTAATGATTCTGTAACTCTGCCTTTAAGAATCAAATAAAACCTGCCCCCAGGTCCTACCACCTTTGGCAGGAGGCACTGTCTACTGCTGCCTCTGGTTCCAGCAGCATCGCCTGGAGAAATTAAACATGCTTTTTGGGAATAACACCACCATTAGATGTCTACCCAGACACAGTGTAGCATTTTCCAACAGGAGAGACACAGATGGAAGGAAGAATGCATCCTAGTCATTAGAAAGCAATTTTAGAATTTATGGTGAGGCCCTACAGACACCACGTTTGACTGTCTTCATGTCATACGGCTGAGAAGTCAGGGCTTAGACCCGTATGAATGATCCGTACAGGGCATGAGCCACAACTGGAGACGACCCCCGCTTTCCTACTATGTGCCATAGTCCCTGAACAGCCTTAAATTCCACATTAAGAGGCGATGGAGCAGGGCCCAAAGAAAAGACGCAAACAACCTCGGTCCTGGCCCCAGCTCACTAGGGACAGCCAGGACCGGCACCTTCGCCCGCGGCGGAAACCCATCTCTGCGCACGCTGAGAATCTGGACAAACCTGTCTCGAGGTGATGCAAGGCAGGGGCCATGTCCCGGCCTTACGGCTACCTAGAGGCCAGCCCGACACGCAAGCCCCTCGGAGCGGGCTGAGGGCCTCCGGGGCTCAAGGACCACCCCCGCCCCTCAGCTGGGGCTCGGGGACGGAGCCGGGCGTTTAGTTGGCCAAAGAGGGCGGGACCTGGACGGGGCAAGCTGGCCGGGCCAGCCTCCTTTCGGCCAGCCTGGCCAGTTCCCAGACAGCCTCCAGCGCCCGCCCCGAGCCCCTCGGCGGCCGGCACAGCAGGTGCCTGCAAACGCGAACAGGTGCCCAGCCCGACCTCCGTGTCCCAGTGCGGCCGCCGTCGTAGCTGCGGAGTCCAGAGCGTCCAGCAGGCAAACGAATACCGGGGCCGAGGACGCTGGCGGCCCGAGCTTAAGGACTCCACGGTCCTTGCGTACCTACCAGTCGGCCTGGCAGTTCACCTTCTCTTGGTGCCTTCAACGCAGGGCTCCCGTCCGCTGAGCGCCGTCGCGGCCCGACAGCATCTCTGGCCGCCGCGCCAGCCCAGCCCCTGCCTGCTCCCGGCCCCGCCCTACTCTCGCCTCGGGCTCCACCCCGCGCCCCACGCCCGGCCCAGTCGCTTCCGCCCAGCCTCCTGGCAGCAAGTGGCTCGCACACCTGTCCGTCAAGGGCATTCTTCCGGGGGCTTTGGGACGACAGCACTCCGTCCTGCCAATCAAATGTACTGCACTCGGGTGGGGCGGCACTTGACCCGCCCCTTACGTAACAGGGCCTGAGCGAACTGTCAGTTACGAAAAATAGCTGCGATGGATGAGGAGGCTACAGGCCAGCGCCTGTACGTAATTGGCCACCGCGTCTGCCAGTCCCCTTAGAGGTCCGCCCACAGGTTTGTGCGTGGCCGACGCAGCCATTCAGGGAGGCTGTGACTGCGGGTCTTCCTAGCCAGGGCGGGGCCGGGGCCGGCCTGGGGTCCCCACTAGAGACTTAGGGGGCGGCCGGTCGGCCACGCCGTGACCACCTTGGGGTCCGCCTCCTATGTTTACTGTCCCCGGGGTTCCCGCTTGGCCTGAGGCCGGCACGTTGGGACCACCGCGGTGGGCGGCCGGGCACGAGACGGTCTGTCAGGTTGGGAGGACCGGGAAGAACGCTTTACGTAATGTTGAGAAACACGCGTTTTCTGTGTCAAAGAGTGGAGGAGCTGATGGGTACTGATGATGGGGACAAAACTCTCAAGGCATCCCTTGGCGGTAGCGCTGCCAGAGGAGCTTTGGAAAAATGTACGTGTCGGACCATCGGACCCAACCTATGGAACCCGATTCGGGGCGGCGGGGGTGGGGCGAGCGCCTGGAATTTACATTGGTCACAAGTTTCCCTGGTGATTCTGGTGCGCCCTGAACCTTGAGAACCTCTTCCACGGCACCACAGCGCCTGGTCCCGATTCTTAACTTTCATTTTCACCTCGCAAGCCCTCACACTGACCTGGAACACCTTTACCAACGCCAGCACTGCTCAGAAGAAGCCTGCCACGGGAGCCATGTCACACTGAGTGAAGTCTAAACTCAGCCCGACTTACAAGGCACACCCCGTGCTGGCCCCGTTCCCACGTTCCCATTCCCACGTCTGCCCCCACACCGATTCTGCGGCTGCTGCCCTGGGCTTTCGCGCCTCCAAGCCTCCTCTTGCCATGGTGCCTTCTCTTGGGAGACCCCCCCTCCAACCTAACTTAGTATCTTACACTCAGATGAGAAATAGCCCTCTGACCGGGTTGTTTCTTCAATTTGGGGTTGCCTTTGAAATTGTGGTAAAACGACCTTGTTAAATGGCAGGCGGCCAGATTCTGCTCGCGCTAATCCCAAGAGCTGGTTCTAAAGTCCAACTTCCTTCCACAGCTGGAAACACTCTTAAGCCAGTTCTTTTTGTCCAATTTGAATACACGTCGGAATGTTGTAATGCCCTTAATATCAGGCTCGATGAGTAAAAAAGGATAAGCGGGGAAATCCTTTCTTCTGGCCACAGGTGGTCCTGGGCACCTCTCTGGGCCAATCCCTCACAACCGTGTTTGCAAGCTCATCATCCTCTCCCAGACTTGTTTCTGATCTCACCCTCTGCATCTCACCCCTTCCCCAAGCTTCACTGAGGACTCCTATTTCTCCAGGTCAGACTGCGCTGCCACTGAGCCTCAAATGGCGTGTACCCAACTGCTCACTTGGCATTGATGCCCCAGACATACGTTGGTTAGAATCCTTATGGCTGTACGTACCAGGAAACCAACTTAAACTGCCTTTCTTGGCAAGGGAACTTATCTCCCACGGCAGGGCCGGCTCCCGGCTTCAGGCACTGCTTTCTTTACAGTCCCTCGAATTACATTTTCGTGCTGGGTAGCAAGATGGCTGCACCATTCCGGGCACGCCCAAATGTGACACAGTCTAGCAGAAAAAGGATCCTTTGCTTTCAATGATCTTTTTCGAAGAACAAGAATAGCTTTCCCAGAAGCTCACCACGTTTCAGTGACCTGAAATGAGCTACTGGGTCTCTCTGCCCACAACTAAACCAACCCAGGGCAAATGGAATAAGTCCGCCATGACTGGCTCAAGCCAATCGAGATTGACCCTGAATCCCCAGCCTTTAGGCAGAGGCGTGCTATATGAGATCTGTGTTTGGAAAAGGCCACTTTGTATGGAGAACAGATTGCAGAGCTGCAGGAGTAGGACAGAAAGAAACCAACTCCACACGGATTCGATGGTGGAGATGGAGAAGTGAATGACTTCTAGAGAAAGTCAAGAAGTGGAATGGACAGGACTTGGCCATGGGTTAGATGTAGGGGTAGGTGGGTAAAGATGAGGTGGGTATCAGACAGCTAGATGAGTGGCCTGAGCTACTGGATGAATGGTGAGGCCATTCACTGAGATGAGAAACAGAAAACCATACTGTTTATGGGAGAGTGGAAAATGGTGAAATAGTTCTGTTTTGGATAAGTAATGTTTGGGGTGTTTCTATAAATATTTTGGCTGATGTAACCTGATACCCATTTATTTACCTCTTCATTGCTGACAGAGCCGTCATTTTTCTTGAGTCCAACCCTTTAATGGTTCCCCATCACTCTTAGAGCAAAGACCAAATTCCTTACGGTGGCTGTGGGCCCAGCGTGGCAGGGCCAACACCCGTGTAGCCCCACTTGTCCCAAGTCCAGCTGCTCACCCTCTCAGAACTCCTTGGAGGAGTGATGCCCTGCGAGAGAGGGCCTTTGCACTGGAGGTACCCTTTGCCTGGAACATCCTTTTCTCCCCCCTCACGCAGATCTTAGCCCAAACACCACTCCCTCTGGGCCATTGTTTATTTGGGAGATGACTTATTAGTGTCTTTCTCCCACGCTACACGCTCCATGAGGCAGCAACCACATCTGTTGTGCGCTTTATGGTCTTCCCAGCACCCAGTCCAATGCCCGGTTATAGTGAGTGTGTGATGAGTATTTGACCAATGAAGGACAGAAGCAACTAGATTATATTTAAAACACCTACCTACCAAACGCCTGCCCCCAACTCATTATTGAAGGTGAGGATGCTTTAGTCAAAGGGCAATGAGGCAGCCTTGAGGTACCATTTCAGACTAAAATATAAAGTACTGAGGGGGAAAAAACCCTAACATTTTCAGTCATTTCATATTACATTCATTATTCTAAATTTTTGGAGCATATCTGATATCTGTGTCAAAAGATGGATTCTTCTTGCATCAGGACTTAACAGATGTGCGTATTCAAGACTCCTGCTCCTATTCTAATCAGCAAAATAGTCGCTGAATCCATTCTTTCAGTTTGTGGGAAGTTAATTGTACAAAGCAGATCGCTGACTTAAGGGAAGCCTTAACAGGCAAAATGATGGTGAATTGAAATGTGTATATATTTCAGACGTGCATACACAGGAGCCAATATTTTAAGTTAAATCCATTTGCCCCTAAACTCTTCTCTGAAAGGAAGATTCCTATATAGTGTGGTACTTGTGTCACATACTGTTCGAGATACATAAGATGATTATAGAGCTACACATTTATACATCAGAAAAAAATAACATCAAAACCATGATTTTATGGATAATAATGTTTAGGATGAGACCACAGTAGGCATTTAAGTTGTTTTTTTAAGTGAATGGATTTAAGGGAGGACCTTGAATCCTAGTTAATAATAATCCTCATAGATGACAGACAACAGGAATTCCTGACCATGACTGAAGTTTGAGAAACACTGCTATAGAGTATATGAGTGGCTTTCTTCATCCTCATTGATCATCATAATTCTTGCTAATAGCATCACAAGTGTGCTTTCACTTTTTGGCTTCACCACATTTTCCTCCCTGCTCTGTTCACTATAACTCCCGCCCTTGAGTAAATTAGTGGATGAACAGATGATTAGATAGGTGAAGGGATGAATTTTACAGAATACAGCATTTCAAATCTAAATCAGAGTAGCTGATGGACTACTGTGAATATTTATGCTTTAAGGAAAAGCTACCAATACACCACATAGCCGCTCAGAGAGGGCTGGAAGGGAATCAATTTCCTTTTATAATCAAACAGCATTTTGAACGTGGCATGACACTGCAAATAACAGCCCATTCTCTTAGCATGCTGCTGACTGTGCCACCAGCCACAAGAGCAATCTTCTCTTCGACTGGTGTTATCTTTGCAAAACCACCTCCCTCTGTGGTTTCAAAGCATTTGGAAAGAAGATAAAGGCTGAAGGTCAGTTCTAGCTAGAGTGGCAGATTCAGAAAAAAGAAACCAAAGAGAGAGAAAGCAATGTGCATCCATTGATAAAGAATTCGGGGCTCTGAATTCAGGGCTGTGGGCACTGTTCCAGACGTAGACACCTTCCTTTCTTACAACAGGTAAACAGTCATTCGTGAAAGACAAGGCATCTCAGCGCTTTTGAGAATCCGCCACCCGAAGCGAATGACAGTCACCATCATTCATTCCAGCTTTCAATGATGAAAATTTCAGTCATACAGAAAAGAGAAGTACAACGGCCATCCTCGTACTCACCACCGAGGTTCGACAATGGGTAATGGTTTTGCCTTTTCCTCTTGAATCATTTAAAAATAACTTGCAGTCATCATGACCTTCACTCCTAAATACGTCATCGTGTATCTAAGGGCAAGGACAGTCCCCTGCAGAACCGCAGTGCCACAATCACACTTGAGAAAATTCTCTAAATTCCTAGCCTCGTTGCATACCCACACCTATTTAAATTGCCCTGGTTGTCACCTAGCATAAAAAAGCTTTTATGGTTATTATTTTCATAAGCCAGGATCCAATCAAGATTCATTCATTGCATTGGGTTATGTCTCTTTGATCTCTTTATTCTAGAAGTCTTTCCACTTCCCCCTCTGTATCCCCTCCCAACACGGACTGTCTGAACAGACCCGGATGTCGGTCACCTTGACCCTCTATCCTTGTACTTCTCGTAAACTGTGAGGTCTGAAGCGCTGGTGAGACTGGGCATTACTGGCGGAAGTGCTTCCTGGGTGAGGAGTGTATTGTGACGCCCCCGCCCCCAAACTACTGATTTAGTAGAACTGCCTCCC